CCCCCGGGCCCAGCAGGGACATCTGCCGGCAGAGGTGCATCTCGGAAGGCCACCGCCCCGCTTCCGCTTGGCAGCCAGCAGGGGCCTTTCCCAGCTGAGCTCTTTGGGACGAGGACTTGAGGAGCAGAGCCTGGGCACCCGCTTTGCACATGGAGGGGGGCGCAGGAGAGCGGGACTTGCCTGCTGAACTAACCCCTTCTCCAGCTTTGGCACAAGGGAAGAACCTGCGATAAAAGCAAGAATCCCAGTGCAGCAGCTAGATCTGTATCTGGCCTGGTTAAGGGTCTCCTGCTCTCCAAGGCCCCCCAAATCCCCACCTCGGGACCCCTGCCGAGACCCTGCTGCCCACCGTCAGGGCCAGAGGGAGCCACGCTCTGCCCCCAGGGCTCTGGCGCCGCCGGCCCCGCAGGCTGCAAGCGCCATGTACCTCCCCTCCGCCAAGGGGGACAGCGGCCAACCCTAACCTTGGCGATCCAGAGCTTGCTGTGAAGGTCACCCAGTGTGTCGCAGAAGCTGCGGACGGTCCTCTGAAACTCCTCTGAGCGCTCAGTCAATGGAAGCAGCTTCACCTCACCCTTGGCCGGGGGGCCAAGCAGAGCTGCAGAAAAGCATGACCTGTGAGGAAACAGTGGCTGCCCGCTCTACGTGGCCGAGGACTCCTGCGCTGCAGGACCAGAAACCAGACGGGGTGCACTGTGCAGGGCACCTACCTGGGGAAATGAGGGGCAGCGGGGGGCCCGTGCGGCCAATGGGCAGAGTGCGGGTGTTGCCAATGTCATACTCCTCCATCTGCTCGAAATTGACAGTGAAGGGCCGCCCGTCGAAAAACACGTCCACACGCTTGTGACCACGGCGCCACGCTTCCTCCAGTAGGGCGCTGGCCTGAGCTGAATAGGGGGTGGGAAAGCCCTGCTCCGAAGGCTCCCAACGGACCCAGCGGGCATCCCCAACGCCTGCGGACGCCTCCACATGCAGCAACCGGGCCAGCAGCAGGGCGAGGTCTCGGGTGGCGGCCACAGGGTAGTCCACGAAACCCGACACAGTGGCCACCGAGCCGGCGAGCGAGATGCGTACTGCATGCTTCCTCTCCAGATGGGTCAAGTAGTCGAGGCAGAGAGCGGGCAGGGACACCAAGGCCTCATTCTGCACTGTTTCCTCCCGCAGCTGCATGCCTAGAGCATGCTCCAGTGCCTGCACCACAGCCTCCGCGTCCTCCTCCAAGGCGGTGTAGACCTCCAGATGAGCTGAAGCCGCTGCCTCCAGAGAGGCGCTCATGACGGACAGGACTACGGGATCTGGACTGGGCGCCTGCTCCTGCTTGAAGGAGCGCAGAGAGAGCTCCGTGGCACGCTGGAGCTCCTCCTCTTCCTGCCGGGCACTGTCCATGGACTGCTGGATGGCCAGGAGCATCTGTGCCTCGTCCTCCTCCTCCACTGCCATGCTCAGAGCTGGGCCTCCCACAGGCAGGCGGCCTTCTTCAGTTGCACCCAGGCTGCCCAAGTTGCGAGAGGCGTCCACCAATGGCTCAGGGGCTGTGTAGATGTCCTCATCCTTGTCCTCCTCTGCAGGAGGGGCAACCCCAGGAGGCTGCAGGGCAGACAGCAGGCCCTTGATTTCTTCTGTAATGGGAGAGGGGGGACCCAGCTGAGCAGGGGCAACAGCAGCACAAAGCAGGCCTGCAGAGACGTCCAGAGAAAAATGACCCCTGAAGCCTGCCCAGCCCCACAGCAAGCTCCAGCCCCAGACCAGGAAGGGGCACAGTGGGGCTATGGGGCAGGACCAGCAAAGGGGTGCCCCTTGCTTTCCTTCACCTCCACAGGACAGCTGGACAGACATTACCCAGGCTAGCTTTGCTTTGCTCGTGGGCCACGCCGGCTGGGCCCTTTGGCTGCGGTTTCAGTCCATTCGGGAAATCTCGTTGGCACACGAGGGCCACGGGCTCCTGGGACATTTCCAACTCGTGCTGCAGATGGAGAAAGGGCCCTCAGAGGCAGCCCCGCCTTTTGAAAAGGGAGAGCAGCACTCCCCCCACCAGCTTGGACCTCCAGCCTCTGCCCCCCCGCGCCTCCCATGCCCACCCTCCTCCTCCAGGGGTACGCACCTGGGTCTCTGGGCAGCACCAACGGACACGCTCCAGCCCAAAGACACAGCGGAAATGCCTCTCCAGGTCCCCCAGGACGGCCTGGCCACGCTCCTCCAGCAGGAAGCGGCTCACGCCAGGCAGATGCAGCGTCATGGTCTGGACACGGATGGCGCGGAGCAGGCTCTGGAGTAAGTCGGCTGCTGCTCGGCAGGCCCAAGATTCACCACTCAGCTGCAAGAAAACGACACCCCCACCCGTTTTCTCAGGCCAGCTTGGTTTTGCTTGATGGAAGGCTAGCAAAAGCAGGATCTGACCCCCTTCTTCTGGGCCTTTAACCTGGTGCCTGAGGGCATGTGGCAGAGCTGGCATGAGGGGGGCGCTGTAAGCAGAGCAGAGCTAGCAAACGCCTGGCACCCCGCGTCTGTGCTTGCGGGAGGACACGGAAACGCCCCACAGCTGCGCCCCTCTTACCCGCAAGCCCGTGACCTCGGCCCCCTCCAGGGGCAGCAGCGTGACATCAGCCAGGCCAGCCAGCAGTTCCTGGCGATGGAGCTGAAGGTAGCGGAGACGGCCGGGCTCCGTGGTCACCAGGATCTCATCGGGCAGGCAGTCCTGCAGGAACCGCTCCAGCTCAGCCACGTTCTCCTCCACCAGGCCGGGCAGGGTGAGGCCCTCCAGGTGCTCCCCATCCTCAGCCAAGCGCACCAGGCAACAGCGCAGTCCCGCCTGCACCTGGGCCCAGCGGGGGGACGCCAAGGCCAGCAGCTGCCGCTCGGACAAGGGCAGGGAGACGGAGACGAGAAAGGAGTCAAGGAGGGAAGCGGCCAGCTGGGCCGCGGAAGGCTTCAGAGCCACGACCAGCACCTCCTCCGTGGCGGGAATGTAGCAGGCGCCCACCCCCCGCTCAGCAAGCCGTTCCCTCAGGTGCCCCTGGATGTCTGCCCGCTGCAGGAAGCCAAGGGCCCAGGCTGAGGAGGCCAGCCGCTCCCGGGCCACCGCCCGCAAGGCCGCCTGGATGCGCTCCCACAGTTGCTGGCGACCAGCCGCATCCCCGCCCGAGACGTGCAGCCCAGCCTCGTCCCAGCGAAGCACGCACTCGGGGGCAGAGGCCCCCAGCTCCCACAGGACGACCTTCGACTGCAGCAGTTGCTGCGCGGCTGCTTCCAGGACAGGAAAGGTGGCGGACAAGACTCCACCGGCTCCTCCGGCCTGCAGCTCTTCTGCTCCCGCCGGGGGCTCCAGGAAGTCGTAGTGGGGGGAGACCTCCAGGCAGCCATCCGGGAGCTGATGGGGCTGCTTCAGCACCCTTTCCACTGCTGCAGGAAATGGAAGGGTCAGGGTCAGGGCGGATGCCACCCCCGAGGCGCCCTTTCGGCATCAGCTGGAGGCAGAAGATGCCCCTACCCTTTTGGGGTCCCAGTTCAGTCCCTTGGGAGCCCAAGCCCCTTCAACCACCCCTCCACCGCCTCTGTGGCCCCTGCCCACCTTATTTACTTTGTTCATTAAACTTATATAGCCACGCATCTCACGAATGAGACTCTGGGCGGCGTACAATAAAACAAACAATAAAAACACATCCTAAATAACTATTAAAAAAAGAGAGACATCCAAATAAACAAGACCACGAGAGTGTTAAAAAAACCCTCACACATAATGAAGCCATCTTGTGTGCTCCGTTTCCAAGGGATTCTCAGGCCTGCTGGAAAAACCGCGTCTTGAGAAGTTGAGAAGGCCAAAAGGGTCGGGGCCAGCCTCACCTCGGGGGCGGGCGGGCAGGCGGGCGGGATGACGCTCCAAAGGGTGGGGGTGCTGGCAGAAAAGGCTCGCCTCCTGGCTCCCGTCAGAGGAAACTCGTTCGCAGACGGGACCCGCAGCGTGCCTCTCCTGCCGGACCTGATGGGACGGCTACATGAAATCGGGGAGAGGCGGTCCCTCAGATAACCTGGCCCACGCCACCCCAGGCTTTAAAGGTCAAAAACAGCACCTTGAATTGGACCCGGAAGCAGACCGGCAACCGAAGCAGCTCGCGGAGCAGAGGGGTAACGTGCGCCGTTCTGGAGGCACACGTAACACCCCGTGCCACCCATTTTGCACCAGTTGCAGCTTCCTAATACTCTTCAAGGGAAACCCCATGGAGAGCACATTACAGTAGTCCATTTGGGAGGTGACCAGGGCACGGGTGAAACACCAGTCGCCCCCTTCCACAAACACAGCAGGGGTCTGTCACCCAAGCCAGGCCCATCACCGCCTCTCTAGCAATTTGGCCCCCAACTTGGCCCAGTTGTCGGAGGCGTGACAGCACTCCTGCCGGGAAGTAAGAAAAGGCTCTCCAGCCTGACCAGGAAAAGCAGAGGGAAAGCCACCCCCCTTCAGATCTCTTTAGCCTGTGCCCAAAACAAAGATGCCAGAATGGGCCCCCTGTGCTTCGAAGGCAGGGTGGGCAGACGGGGGGCTGCGCTCAAGGCGCCCTCCCTGGCCCACTCCCTCCCGGGTAGCTGCGGAGGGAAGGGCAGGGTGGGCTCCCTCCCTGCTCTGCCGCTGCCATCAGCACCCTAATTCTGGACCCACTGAAGAGGCGCAAAGGTGCGGCCAGCAAGCAGGGCTGCGAGAAGGGGAGGGGCAGCCGTGCTGGGCAGGGCTTGCTCCTCTGCTTCAGCCCCACGCTCGTGGGTGTCCGATCGCCCTGCCGAGACAGGTGGGCTGCACAGATGGCCCCCAGGGGCGTGACCTCCCAGAAAAATGCCATGCCGGTACATAGCAGCTTGTTTACTGATACTACTTAGAAGAATGGGGTGACATCTTTTAGTGTTAGAAATCAGGACACGAAATAACAGATTTCAGGAATAGGAGGGCAGAGTCCGGCCCTCTCTCAGAATCCTGCACCGAGCAGGATGCTGGACTCCCTGGCTTCCCCGCCACGCTGGGACTCCAGGACAGAGGCACGGGCGGCTGTTTTTTAAATGCAACCCGGCACCTCGTTTGATGGCATCTCACAATATGAGCCTGCAGCTGCACTGACCCACGGCACATTCCCGTGGCCCCGGTCCTGCCAAGCTCACCTTCAGCAGTGCTACTCAGTCACGATGCTCTGGACAACCCCCTCCCCAGAGCCTGTGCCAACCAACCCCAAGAGCTCAGTCCAGAGACAGGACCCCAGCAAATGTCTGCTGTCAGAGCGGGCACATCTGTGACCCCAGGAGGGGCATCAGCTACTAACATGCAGCGGTGTGGCTGGACACCACGATGCGGGATATGAAGAGAGAGAGGCAGCGGCAAGAGATTAACGGAGAAAATCTTTCTCAGTATCATCCCAGAGAGGCACTTCTCGTCTACATCTACAGGGGCCGTGATCAACGGGCCTGGATGAAAGACGTCCTCCCTTCTGGTTGAAAGGATTTTTCACTCTTAAGGCAAGCATCTGGAACACGTCCTTGTGCGTTTGCTGGAGCACTGTGATATTTCTGAACACTGAGACATTGAAACTGTATTTTCTGTGCTAACCTATTTTGGTTGCAACCATTGACGTTGCTCAGTTTCCAGCAGAAGTCAGTCTAGGTACTTCTAAAGGAATGAACTGCGAACACCGCTGTGCTTGCTGCTTGTGGATTAGGACCCTGGAGGGACACTGTTTAGAAATATGCTTGAAGGAAGCTGGCAGCCTGAAGGGTATTCACTTGAGACAGGGCTGTTGCTGAAAAAAGGCCTCACTCCGCCCAGGACAGGAAACGCCTCCCTTCCATTTCTCTGGCTACAAATGGGCCCAACCGTGGCAACCCACAGGGACCGCCTGGCTGGCTTTCCTGCCAAACCCCCACCTCACTTGAGCCAGTTTTGCCACATCAACCCAACTGCTGTATCAAAAACACTGTGAGGAACTCAGGTGGCCTTCAAGGTGCTGCTGCCTTTTTGTGGACACAACCACAGATCTTGGCTATAAACACACATCGAGGTCCTGCCAATATGTTTCCAGAGCCAGCGGACCATGCACTCAGAAGTGTGGCTCCGGCATCGCCTTAACATCTGTGCAAAGAACGCTAGCCACACTGTGCGCTGCGCTGGGGCCGAAGAGGCCAGAGAAGAACACGTCTCGCGTGCCCCTCACCCGTGCAGTCCTGGAAGGAGACCACGGCCAGCGCACCGCCCGGGAGCAGCCTCACGGCCTGCACGCGGCCCCCGCCACTCCGCCTGCTCTCGAAGTACAGCTCCAGCACCTCCTGCCGCAGCCGGCTGCCGTCACGACTCCGAACAAGGACGCCATCCGTCTGCTCCACCCAGTCCAGCACCAGGCTGGCCCCGTCCAGCTCCCGGCTTTGCACACGATCCGCCAGCGCCAAGAACTCTGCCCGGGAAGAGAGGGTCTGCGTCAAGGTGGCCAACTGGCATCTGGAGACAAGAAGCTGCTCGTTCAGCTCCGCCGTGATTAGGAAATGCCTTCTCTTCTCTTCAATCCTCTCTCAAAAGCAGCATAATAGCCCCCCGGCCAGCAAAACGGCCAGGCAGATTTCTTAGAAAAGATCACCCATTTGGCTTCTCTGGGGCTACAAGAGGGGGAGAGAGGGAGCCGCAACTCCCCCACCCCTTTGGAAAACAGATGCCGTGAGCTGGTGCCGAGGGCCGCAAACAGGACCAGGGAGCACCAGCAGGCGATGGCTAACTTTGCTTGCAATCCAGGGGATCCTTTCCTGCCGGCACACGGTCCCAGCCAGCTCAGCCTGAGTGAGGTCCTTTAGTATAGGGTGGCAACATTTTAGCAGGCAGCGGAGGAGCGGCTCCTCTGCCCCTTCTGGTATCTGCCCTCTTGGTGTTTCTCGAGGGGGGAAGAATGAGGGAGCAGGTGCAGAGAAGATGGTAGAAGCACCGGGCTGCGACCGCACTTGGGTTGCGGGGAGGCTGCAAGGGGCACATCTGGGAGGGAGCTGCCAAGGAAGCTCAGCCGGCAGGATGCATCGGGAGGGGAAGCGCGGGAACAGGTGGCCCCAGCACGTACCTGCGTGGCCGAGCGCCGCCTGCAGCTGCACCAGCACCTGGTCCCCAGCAGGGCTACGGTGGATGGCGTAATCCTCCCTCCCGCAATCCAGCATGCGCTCCACGTAGAGCTCCACCAACTCCAGGCTGCTTTGGGGGTTCAGGCCCCGCAGGACCACCTTCCCATAATCCCGAGGAGCAGCGGGCTGGACAGTCAGGTGCACCCCTTGCAGGACATGGTCAGTTCTGGAGAGGACACGCTGGGCATCTGCGGGGAGGAGACCAGAAGGTGATCTCATACGCCAGAAAGCCTATGTTACTACCCGCCCCAATACTTACTTACTTATTTATTTATTTATTTAGTTATTATTTATTGATCAAATTTATACGCTGCCCATCTCACTGTATTAGTGACTCTAGGCGGCTTACCAGTAAAAAGAAAGCTATAAAAATCTTTACAAAAATATACAAAGTTAAAAGATGGAGAGAGAGTCCTCAAGCCGCCAACCACCCCAGTACTGCAAGCCCCCATCTGTGATGGGATGGAAGTATGAAGGCCAAGCTCAGGGAGATAAAGAAGCATTTTCTTAGCTCACTGGAACCGCATGGGAGGAACAAGAGGATGAGACTGGCACCTCCCTGAGTTTTAGTCTGGGAAGAATGATGTCAGGTCTAGCCCAAGGAACTCCATACAAATTCAGTCCAGCTATGTTTATTAGCTACAACCTCTAGCAAGAATCTTCCCAGACTAAAACTCAGGGAGGTGCCAGTCTCATCCTCTT